CTCTCTCTCTCAAGTGATTGCTCGAGGGGAGGAAAATGGTATCGCAGTGAGGATATCGGGGAGAAGGAATGAGAAAATCCATCGTATTTGTCGAAGTAATAGAGTCGGTAATCTAGTTAGAAATATTCGATTCACCACGTATAAACAATGCCAGGCGGTCAATCGTACCGTCGGAATCACGCCGCGAGCGATTTACTTTGGCTTTTAGGTGCAAGGAAAACAGACCGAATTTCCCCTCGCGAATCCTCGCTCCATCTTTCCTCCCCTGAGAGGATTCGCGGTGTCGCGTCTCGAATTACAAAGCACGCGCAAAGAAACTTAATACGATCGTTGAAATGTAATACTTCTTGCTCGCTTGCTTGAAAAATTGAACGAGACAAACCTTCGTCGTGTTGGCACTTGAAATTTTTGTACACTCATATTTTGTTCGATCCTCGAATAAAGCATTTAGCTTTGAATACGCAATATAATCATCATCAGAATTTAACAGTATTAAGTGACGTTTACAATGAGCTTTTAATCCCGAATGGAATAAGCTGAAGTTTATTGATCAATCACGATCGAATGTGAAAAGAATAATCGAGTATGATTGATTAATTTTTTATGACTTAAAGGTGCGATTTCTTTGATAAGCATATTCAAATAAAGCATATTAGTGTTCCCACTTTCATCAGTATAATCTCAAAACATAGAATGGAAGGGAAAATTCAGATTTCAATATTTCGCCACAAATGTCGTTTTTATAAAGAGTAAAATATCGAAATATGCCAAAATAGCATGTTGATAATTAATCAACACTAGATTTGTAAATTTCGCGAATACAAAATTTGTAATCGATAGATACTTATTTTTTTAAGGGATCAGAAAACATAGAAAAATAATTTACAACTTAGTACTAAGAATGGAGAACGATTTGAGATAAATATTTAGCGCAAATGCTAGTCGCTTACGTACCCAATATACATATTCCATAGTTCGATCACACCGAACTATTGATCATATTTGTTCAGATTCTTATTCAGGCATCATTCCATACTTGTTGTTTACTAAATGTTAAACAAGGATGACATGACATCTGGGGAACATCCGGGTAAGAATCCAAACACGCTTCTAAGTATGAAAAAAGCATTCTATTTTCAACTATAATGATGACAGTGGGGGTAATATCTGAATATATGTGTAATCATTACATATGCCTTAAAATCTCAATGTAGAGTCGCTTTAATTTTTCAATTAAAGAAGGCATAGGGCAAGTCTCACCAACTCTGAGTAACTTCGACCGGTTGATACATTGGAACTGATCAATCGCATTCACTGTTCAGCAGAATGCTGAACATGGTTGATCTAATCACGGTTTAATCGACCGATTAGACTAATCGGAATTAGTGAGATCGGCCTATAGTTCGTTGCAATTTTTTTCGTATTTTATTCGTGCAAGCAACAATAAAATGTAAACACATTTAACGTAATATGACAACGATTCAGTTATCACACATCACATTGCTTATCGCAGATACCTTTATCCGCGAATAATCGCGCGTCGCAACACCATCGGCAAAGAACCTCACGGTCCTATATCTTCTAGTAAAAATTCCAATCGATGGGAACATGGGACGCAGGGATCAATATATTGCCATTTCTGCAATCTGAATCGCTTTATCATTTCAAAAACGAAGATGCGGCTTGTTCTTGATCATATGCCTGTAAAAATAGAAACTTATTGTTATTAAAGATATTGACTTAATAATGATTAATAGCTTAAAAAAAAAAAAATATATATATATATAAAGATCCAGGGGAAAATTCCTAAATACGTGAATAAATAATGAGCGTTGACCTTTCCATTCTATTATAATGATCCATAATTCATCCACTCTAATGACATTCGATGAAATCAGCTTTGTTATTTATTTTGGTTATTTATTTTATAACTTAAATTACACATCAATTTGCTCCGCGCTTGTTTGTTTGCGATCGTAGATTAAGATAAAATTTACCGGAATTGCGATAATAAATATAAATATTAAGGTC